TCTTTAGTTGTGAAGCTTTCCAAAAGTTTCCAAAAGTCAGTGCGCACGTTCTTTATAAAATCCCTTATTTCCATTGAGATTGGATGCCTTTTGATGGAGATTTCCATTAAACATTTGAAGATTTCCATTGAGATTTGATGCTTTTGGAGGCTTTTGGATGGAGATGTCTATTGAAAATTTGAAGATTTCCATTGAGATTTGATGCTTTTAGAGGCTTTTGGATGGAGATTTCTATTAAACATTTGGAGATTTCCATTGAGATTTGGATGGAGATTTGTTTGAGATTCGATTAATATTCCAGATGTCTTCAAAGTTAGGAATTCTTATTTCCTTTTAATTTAATATTGCCAGAGGTCTTCAAAGTTAGGAATTCTTATTTCCTTTTATTTTAATATTGCCAGAGGTCTTCAAAGTTAGGAATTCTTATTTCCTTTTAATTTAATATTGCCAGAGTAGCTCCAGAGGTAGCTAGCTAAGGATTCCTTATTTAATTATCAACTGATTGATTTTCTTATACATTATTTTGGAGGCCTTGGCTGTTGAGGGGGGGGGGGGTTTATTAATCAAGGGACTACATTACCTTGGAGCAAAACCATACACCCTTGTCACATATTGTCATAGATCCCGTTGTGAAACAATTTTCATCGCCTGGTGTGCCGAAGACCCACGACCACCGATGACGTGTTCAGTTGTTCAACTCCGAGCACGTCAAGCAGGCAGCCTGGGCAGCCAGAAGCTGACCCGTGCGCTTCCGGCCCAGCAGGGGAATTCCTGTGGCCGGTTGGGCCATTTCAGCCACTGTGGCTTAAGAGCGTGAAAGCGTTGAGGTTGTTGGAGGTATTGCAGGATTTGGGGAGTTCAGGAACGCTTGGCAGGTGAGGGATTGATCATGAGTTCACCTCTTCTTCTTCTTTTTCTTGTTTTCTTCTTGACCGAGATTCAGTGAACATGTGGCTTGTATTATGATTTTTCGAAAGCACAGCAACTGTGTGTTCATTGACGTTCCTTCTCAACGTTTTGAGGCTTGGCCCTCACTGTCGCCGCCTCGCTCGGCCGCGCTGGCCAACGCCGGGCGGTGCGACGGCATGCGCTGCGCACCGGCGATGTAGGGGACGGTGGCGCCGAGGCGGGGGAGAGCGGGAGCTTGCTAGGAGCAAGTGCCTCGCTACTAGGAACAAGTGCCTCGCTAGTAGTAACAAGTGCCTTACTAGTAGTAACAATAAGAATTAGAATTCTAATTACTAGCAAACATTGTTACTACCAGTAAGGCACTTGTTACTACTAGCGATGCACTAGCAAAGGAATCTACTAGGACCTTTTCGCGCGCGCGCGCGTGGGGGAGGGGGTAGGAGCAAGGACGCTATTAGGTGGAGGCCATCGCAAGTAGGTTGGAGGCCATGGCTACTAGTAGCAAATAGCTATGAGTACAAAGGGCGTCGCTGATAGTAACAAGGACGCTCCTAGCAGCTTTGAAAACAATGACAATCTTCTTTTGAGATACTATTGGCGATGGCCTCCACCCCTAGTAACGATTCTAGCGATGGCCTCCACCCTAGTGCTTCCGTTTCAAGGATCGGTGGCTTTCCGTTTGCTGCTAGACTCTAGGCATGACTTGGGTGCAGGAGTAGTGCAGGAGTACGTGGTAGCCCTCAAACCTGCTTGACTTTGTTCTGAATTTGTTGCGGTGATGTTTTCCCAGCCTTCTCTCCAACGACGCCCCCTCAGCTGGCTGGGCAGTGACATCAAGTGGACCGTTTGGGAGTTTTATGTGGAAGAGCACTTTTGACCCGGCATTTGCATAATCATTCTTGACTCTTGTAGATTATTGCATAATTTATGAAGCACAACAAGAATGATTCATTCAAGTGTTGTGGTCGTAGGAATCAAAAACACATATGTAGGTTGGAGGCCATCGCTAGTAGGTTGGAGGCCATCTCTATTTAAAGAATTACTCCAGCATAGACCCCAGATAGCAAAAGCATGCAAAAGATATTTTTGGGCTGCACCCTGCATTGGCAGCAGCTCCAATTCTTACACGCAATACAGCGTGGCGTGTCTCCACTACGCGCACAGCCAGCGCCAGCACCAGCACCCGGCACCAGCACAATAATTTGCACCACACACACAACGAGCACCAGCAACCCGACAGCACCCTACCAGCACCCAGCACCGGCACGCCAGCTCACAGCACCACACGCGCACAAGCACCCGGCACCCTGTTTCCACCATGCGCACAGCCAGCTGACAGCACCCAGCACCAGCACCCAGCGCCCGCACCCTGTTTGCACCACGCGCACAGCCAGCTCACAGTCCACCACGCACACCCAGCACCCAGCAACGGCGCCCAGCATTGGCACCCTGTCTCCACCACGCGCACAGCAGGGAATAACAACGTATGATCTTGCGCGAGAAAGTTTATGCGCACAAAACTATGCGCGCAAACAGCAAAGCCCGTAAGTGTCATTTGCGCAAGGCCAAGCAGTATCCAGCGCCACTGTTGATTTTGTAGCATGCTTGAAGCAACGATCTGTAGAACGATAAGGCCAGTATGATCTTGCGCACGCAAGTTTACGGGCGCAAAAGTATGCGCACAAACGGCAAAGCCCGTAGGCCTCACTCGCCCAAGGCCAAGCAATATCCAGCACGACTATTGTGTGTGTAGCATGCTGAAACATGCTGAAACAATGGTTGGTTGAGAGCTTGACGTTGCGCATAGAACATTGTACGTACAAAAGTATGCGCACAAACAGTACAGCCCTTGACACAGCTGTCGGCCAAAGCAGAACCTGAACAGGTCCCCCACAGCGCTAATAGACAAAGAACGCTCAAGCAACGACACCGTATGATGTTGCGTGCATACAGCCAGCTCACAGCACCTGCACCAGCACCGACGCCCTGGGTGGGTGCTGCACCGGCACCACGTCTCCACCACGTGCACAGCCAGCTCACAGCACGCACCCGGCACACAGCACCGGCACCCTGTCTCCACCGCCAGCACCGGCACCCAGCACCTGTCTCCACCACGTGCACAGCCAGCTCACAGCACCAGCACCTGGCACCACCAGCGGCACCCGGCACCCAGCACCAGCACCGGCACCAGCAACCTGTTTCCACCACGTGCACAGCCAGCTCACAGCACCAGCACCAGCACCG